GCCATTTTTGGCGTATTAGCCGTCATCAGCAAGGCGCGTTGAAGTCGAGGTGTTGCAATACTCGAGGATCGACCCAACGACCTGTTGATTAGAAGTCATTGTCGTGATGTTATTCTGCCTATGATACTGTCCTATGTGTAGCTGTTGGCGGGGCCCAAGAGTGGGTCCCGAGAAACGACCAGACGAGCATGCCCTTAACCGAGATCGAGGGGTGTACCTCTAGCCTTTTTAGTATACCTGGTTGCAACCCACAGGAAAATAAGTTCGTGGCTCAATAATTAAAGTTTGAGACTTCTAACCTACAGCTCGCAGGATCGAATATCAGGAGTTTTAACATCTGGAATTAGGTTTGGCTGGCTGATGACGGTTAATAAGCCAAAAAATGGCTACTGCAGGCGCCCTTGCCGCTGTTTCTCAATGTTATGAGCCACTACGCGGCTGCTGGTGAGACCCGAGAGAGAATCCCAAGACAAAGCGGGACGAGTGATTTCCGTTAGCGATCGGTGAGCTCTCATTAACAAAACTTCAGTACATTTTTCTGTCTAGTAACCAGATTAAATCGACGAACGCATCTCCTATATGATTTTGCATATTCGCGATCACAGCAGTTCAAGTCGATAGAGCGTTGGTCTTGAAAAACATACACTGATCCGAATTCATATTCAGGGCTAGTCAATATCTGAGCCTCAAGTATTACGGAATTTTGACGACTAATAAGTCCGAACTTGTCTTTAAGTTGTACCTGCCCTTTGTCCCATGTAGCTTTCAACGTTATATAGTCCATTATATTTCGGTATCGATAGTTGTGCCGTCGATTTCGACGATGTCCACCAAGAGCTTCAGCGAGTTGAAGTAACACGGTGGCTTACGTTGGATTATAATGAAAGCAGACTCGCAGAGGATCTACCCCACTCTTTTATCACTACCACACCGAGACCCGATGTCAAGAAAAAAGTCAAGAAGGCCGGAGATGGCGTAGGGTGCAGGCGGCTGGCGCGACCAAAGCTCATTGCGCGTACCAACAGCACATCTTGCTAGTTAGGCTCCCGACTGGGGGCACCGTAAAGGCCACATTAAGAAGGAGCCATTGGGTCTGACTCTCAGCCCGCAGTCAACCACTTTACACACAACTTCACCATAACCTCATTCATTCGCAAGTCACTAGCACTGGGTCCAACTCCTACCACACAGCGATGAACGACGTCACTTGCAGTGGTCAGCCTGCCAAGCGAGACAAGAGGAAACGATGGACTTAAAACTTGAATCATGTCTTTGACTTCACAGTCGACAACCATAACCAGATGACCACAAACATGCTCTGCTTTGTTTCACACATGTTCTGTTCCGAAGGTAGACAGGCCAAAATATGGGGCATCGCCGCTATTCAGTAGTCTAGCAAATCAATTCTCTTTTAAAGACAAACAGCTCCGGCACAGATATGAAGTGCACTATTCGGCTGCATTTGCTATACGCAAAATGAGGCGCTTCTCTATCGCACTGTGTAGATAAAAGTTGTTTTGCACAGAGAGTCGCTTTACTCGGAAGCAGGAAGTCAAGTCCAGGAGTGTGTTTTGGTACCTCCCCACACAACTGCCTCAGCGATCTGACCTAGGAAATGGGTTTGTCTTCTCATGGGTAAAGGATCGGGTTTCTATACTACTAAGCAATCGGGTAATCAAAATGCAATTCCAAGACAAATATCACTCAACAGTCTGGAGATCTTCGAATCGTACTTTTAACTGCACAGCCAAAATGCGCCACAATTGTCAAGTCTCTAATTTGTTTTATGGGATCACGAGCAGCAGTTTATCTCAGCAACTCCGGTAGGGTCTAGTAGGCACCAGGATGTACAATGTTTACGAAATCCGCATCTGGCTGGCTTTGGTTCAGAAGTTGTGGCTCGAACTAACCATACTGAACCTGGGCTCTGTGCACTTTAAAGGAGCACACTTAAGAGACATGCCGACCACGCCATTAACGCGCGCTTGACTGTCAATCTGACAGCTTTTCACAGACGCCACTGACCGACTGCATGCGCGCGTAGGCATGCTGCCAGCCGCTTCTGTTTAATGTGCAGATAATATCAGTAAATATTTTAAATATACCACGCACGGGGGAGGGGGAGGGGTGGAGTTTCAAGGTTGTAAACAAAATCGCTTCACCACGCCTTTTCTTGGGTATGGCTGGCTGATCTGATGTCTGGATATTCAAATCACCCTTGCCTTTGCCGTTAGTGCGGTAAGGATGACTTGTATGGTCACCTAAACAGTCCATAAGAATAATAACGCCCCACCCAACTAAAAAAGTTGGTCTCGTGAGAAATTTTTTAAAGGGTAAATATTCCTGTGCCCTAAACCTGACACCAGTCCTAACAGATAGTAGTGCTGGCGAAGACTAGGGCGACTGGAATGGCCATTTCTGGCTATGATTATCCGTCGTCAGCCAGTCATGCCGAATTCCCAAGTGGTGCACCACCCAAGGCTCGAAAGTGCGAGCTTTTTGGCTAGAGCCTAAAGCTCTAACCATTGAGCTACGAGCTTGTTGTCTTGCCGATTTTGATCGGAAGATACTGCAACTCGTTGA